TTTATGTGTTAAAAAACTTGGGCATATACTGTTAAGACTATTTTAGAGCAGACTGGCTTGTTTTATATGTGAGAAAATCAGTTTAACTATACATATAGATTTTAGTATTATCAAACAACGAATTTTAGACATATTTCTATCAAAAAGTTGGTATTCCTCAATTAATAACTCGTCTAGATTAGATACATATTGTTTATTTAAACATTCATTCGAATTTGAAAACTATTTGGATTTTATCGTTGAACCGAAATTTAGGGTAGCTTTATCCAAATTCCGTTCATCTTCTCATAATTTGGCTATTGAACGTGGACGGCATAGAAATATACCAAGAAATGAAAGATTGTGTAGTAATTGTAATGCCGAGCCGTTAGGCGAGGGTGATATTTTATCTTGGCAGGTAATATATTCACATATATCACTCCAAAACCAAAATAATAATTTTATTACCCTTCCCCTGCCGAGTTTAGACGGTTTTTTAAAAAATCATTGCTGTTTTAAATGAAACGTCGAAATAAGATTCCCTTTAGGATACCTCTTCGTCACAACATGACGTCACATAAATACATGACGTATTTTTTCGTACCTAACGAATGTAAACAAGAGAAAAGGAGTAGTCTATTGAACGCACTATTTTGTAATCAGGGGCGTACCTACCGATACGCCAATACGCCAGGGCGTATAAATTCAAGCAAAATTCAAAAAATTGATAAAGTTAAAAATTTCAAAAATGGAATAAAAATCAAGGGGCATAGTGTAGGTCCTTTGAAATTTTAGCTTACTCGAATCAATCAAAACTGACTATAGATGTACAAAGACATGGAAATAAACGTATAGATTTCAAGAAGCCTAATACCGTAAACACGGTACTCGGCAGTTCTACTTTGTCAACGGGAAGCAACTCTAGCGAAGATTATTTTTATCGTTGTTTCTATTCGGGATCCGAATGAATGTTAAGCGCTATAAGTTTTCAAGGCGGGAATTTTAAAATGTCTTTTAAAGATGGAGATTTTATTCCGCCCTATCCTGATCCTTTTGGAGATGGAGAAAGCTTCAAAAAGAAGTTAACAAGAAGCTCGTTCTTTTGACTCAACCATGGAATGAATGTGCAGGCCTTTTAAATTCCCATCAAGGTAGATTCTAGCTTCTCATTCTACCTAGAATTATATAAATAATCAAAAAGTAGCTTTAACCAAATTATCGCGTAAAAATATTCATTGAGATTTAAATGATTAGCGTGGACCCTAACTTGTATCGAGAACCAATTAAATTAATATACGGCCGAAATATTTTAATGTCAATCTGACGACTATATAATATTATATACTTAATATCAACCCAATAATATATATTGGCTATATAGGCTCAGTGGTTGGAGCGGGTGTCGCTCGGTGGTGTTCAAAACAATTCAGCTGTCAGTTCAAAAACCTTCGTGCGTTGATTTTTTTTCCTTATTATATTATTTTTTTAAATATTTTGCATAAGTAGAATTTAGATCTAAATATGATAATGTTAATTTTCAATGAACATTCTTGTCTTTTTTTTTTTTAGTTTTATAATTCGGTAAAAAATTTTACTCTCAATAATTTTTTAACATTCAGGTATGCTAGTGGAAGAATTTAGGACGCCACACAACCGGCTTAATTGGTTTACGTCATAATAGCTGGCTGAGGTGTTCTGTAAAGCTGGAGGGGGTCTTTTGTGCCCCGTGTTTTCTATTTTTCAGAAATCAGAAAATTTGCAATATAGCACGTGTGAAAATGGGAATATTTTTTCACTTCTATGTGTGATAAATAGCATATTCATTAGAAACTAAACATTTTCTTTTCAAGATGCCCTTAAAATGTAGAAAAAACTCAATTTTTCAATTACTGATTTGAAAGACGCCTCGTCAGACATTCAACCGTCTGTGCGAAAAAACGCTATTCAAACAAACGAAATATAGCTTATAGTTAACATTGTGGTGAAACGTTTAACTTTTTTAGAAGAAATAATGACATTTGAATCGAGTACCGAAGCTTATCAGGGTCCCCCACGTATGTAAAAGTTTCACGTCACGTCAACTTGTTTCTTTCTTGTTTTGACCAAAAACATTCCATGAAGAACGTTATATGATTAAATACGAAATACGTAGAAGTTTTTAATCATTCCCAAAAAACTTTTGTTGGATTACCTGAGCTATTTGTCAATGCGAGTAAACGTCATTGCGTCTTACTAAATATTTCAGCAAGGTCGTGAAATCACGAAGCTTCGACAGGACTTTTGTCGGAGAGCATATCGAGAAAAAGTTCAGTTGCAATGGCCTTAAATCTTCTCATCTTTGTCAGTAAATTTTTATTGAGACATTCAAAAACATCTTATCAATGCGAATAAAATAAGGTAACTTAGCGTAAAACATCTTATCAACTGTAGGCCCTGATAAGCTTTCGTACCATTAACAAGTTGATTTACATTTTTTTTGAAATCATGAAAATTGAAGCGTACACCAAAACAAGTTCGGTCACAGTGTGAATGATATACTGTTGGTGATGTGGATTTTAATTCACCAATAAAACCCAGTATCTCTCCAGTTACCAATTTAATAAAAAAATATTGTATGAAAAATTGGGCATTTTATATGTTTCGTTGTGTGAACAGTACTGAGTGATGCTGAGAGAAATTGTATGTCGACATATATTTTGACAAATACTTTATCACATTATATTGTAGCTTTCATGATAATTTGTAAACATGTTTAAATCAATTTTATTCTTGATTACTAAGACATGTACTGCAGATTTGAAAATGCTCATTGAATCCATTACTACTACATATATAACGAGAAATTCTTCTTTTAACATTATTTCATTTAAAGAATTGATTTCTTTGCTTAAATTGTAATATTGAAATTATCGATTATTTTATAGGTTTCAAAGTGTGGTCTTCCTGTATCACAGTGCGAGAACTATATAGAGGGGTCTACAGACATGCTTGGATGTTGACGAAGATACATTCCTCCGTGAATGTGTCTTGTGGAGGACGTGGTGGACTGATCCAACACTAGCTGCCCAACGAGAAACGACTCCAGAAAACTTAACGGATTCATTAAAAGTTACAAGTGAAGCATTGTATCCAAATATCAGGAAATGCTTGGCACTTCTTATGGTAGTGCCGGTCTCTACCGCTACTGCAGAGAGATCGTTCTCTACAGTGCGTAGAGTTAAATCATACCCCCGGTCAACCATGACGACTGAGAGGCTGTCCGGCTTTGGACTTCTGAACATTTACCCGGAAAAGAAGCTTGATGCTGAACGTATTGTCGATTAATTTTGCGGCTAAAAAAGAAAGAAGACTGGCTTTGATATTTAAAGTGTAGATTATAATAGAGATGTAAATGAATAAATAAATAAATAAAAACATAAAAATTATAATAAAAAAGAATGAATGAATGAATAAATATATAGTAAATAGTAATGAAGAAGGAATAAAATTTAATCGTTTGTTGTCATACGTTTAATACTTTTGAGTTTTTTATATTGGTTAAGTTTTAGTCAGGGAAAGACATTTGAGAAGCTATTTTATGGCATTTCAGCCTTTTAAAATGATACCTAATCAAATTTTTTCGGGGGCCTCCGGCCCCCTGAACCCCTGGCCAGGACTTTGCCCCCTGGCCCCAACTTTTATGAGCGTATTTTTCAAATACCTCTAGGTACGCCCCTGGTAATTAATATCTAGCTTTCACAAGGTCATATATTTGTTTTCGATACTGATGGTAATAATATGTATCATTACTCTACTTTGGTAAATATTTATCATTTGACTGTTAAAAAGTGCTTTTAAAGCGTAAAATCGAACCGTACGCGCATCACCTCAGCGCATGTTGTTTACAACGTTGGGTACCCAACGGGGAAATTTAGTGTGTATATTACCCGTCTGGCTCGGTTATATCAATTTCTTTCGGGTGATCAATATCCAATCAAAAAGGCGGAAAAAATCTGGAAGGGTAATAAATTATTATACGTGGCCAACTAAACAGAAATTTGTTAATTTCATATGTGCAAAATCAAAAGCAATAATTAATAACGTTTCTTGCTCAAGGAAACAACGATTTGCTCCTGACAGGGTTTGAATGCACGCGATTAGCGATCATTAGATTACTAGTCCGATGTATTAAGCACTCGGTCATATGACTAGTATTTTTGCAACTGTATAAGGTACGTATACCGAAAATGCAAAACAATATAGATATTGTACTTATTTACATCGACATAACCCTAAAGTGACACTTCAAACCGTAGTCTCAGAGGAGACAGCATCCTAGACTAATTAATTACTGGACGCAGTAAAGGAAGACAATACTATGAAAAAAATAACCAATTATGATAATAATTAATATATTTCTGTATCAGTATTAAGAAAGCATTCAAATGTCTGAATATTCATGCACCACATAATATGCATGTGACCATGCCAATAAAGTAAAACAGACATATGTTTTGCTGTAATGGAAAAGACAATCATTTGAAATATGAAGTCATTTCTTTCAGTAGGCAAAAAAGAACAAAAAGTATATTAGTTATTAACTAAAAATTGTAAGTTTAACTTTAAAGAGTAAACAACTCAAAAAGTAAGGATGCTTGATCATACATGACGTGAAAAAAATAAAGAATAATTATCTTAAAACTAAAGTAGCTATCAATTATAATAACAAAGATAATACTTTAAAAGAATATAAACAAATTTAATCAATTCAAAGTTAAACAGTTGAATGTAGATAATAATGAACCGCACAAGAATGGTAACTCTATTATCGTATTTTTTTGCTTGTAGCACTTTGTTATTTGTCATTCTTATTTGTTTGTCCAGAAAAGTGTTCGATGTATTTAATTAAAACTTGAATAAGAGGATAAATCTTTCCGAAGAGGGAGAAGTGCAATGCAGAAAAATGATAACTCCATCCTTCAAAATTATTAAATGACTGACCTTTTAAATGCTTAAGATTTGTCCAGAGCATAACAATAAAATCACTTGAGATATCAACATAGGGTATTTTAACATGTCTTATGATAGTCATAGAAAATACAGTATAGTGTCATTTATTCAGATCTAGTATTTATAAAAAAATCTAAACGTTTATTAAAGGAATGTGAAACAACTTTTATTGATTAGCATACATTTCTGAGTATTATCCATCTTAAGTCTATTTATACTTTTTATAACTATCCATTTTGCTCCATCTCGGCTTTTTTCTCAACAATATATTATTCAAAGTATATGTGTTCTTTCAATTGTCAATTTCATATACGTTAACAACTTTTCCGCGTCCCGAATAAAGTCTATGATTGCTATTACAATACGTTATGGAACTACCCCAATCGTCAATAAGTATGTGTCCATAGCTTAGATCTCCGGACAACTGGTATATATTGTCTTTACAACAAACGTAAATGTAGCCTTCATTGTCTACTGTTATTTGTTCTGGACTTTTCATATATCTATCACTGTAGACTGCATTGACTTTGCCATCTAATGTCAAAGATGTCACGTTGTTTTCAGCTGGTTCCGTAAGATATATGACTTTTTCATCCGGACTGATTGCAATACCAGTGCCAATATCGGTAGCATAGCGTGCCGGGAGTGTTTTCAAGTGGTTTCCAACTATATCAAGTATGACTATTTCCCTGAAGCCTGTCATAAAGAACTTTCCACTCTTGAAAAGAAACGATCTGAAGAAATTAAACTGTCGATCTAATTTAATCTTCTTATTTTTGCTAATGTTACCTGACGAGTCCACTGACAGAAACTGAATATTTTGGTAATCAGAGTACATTAACACAGCCAGTTGATTGGTATTGACACTAGTTATTCTCCAAGCATTTTTACATTGTAAGACTATTTTATCCACTACTTGTGTATTCCGTGTATCAACAACATAAACTGTTTTACGTTTGCTTATAAGAACTGCAAGAATATGATTTTGAATTGTGGCCAGTCCGTTTATCCAGCTCGCATCGTTGTCTTCACCAATGTCATTTTTTAACACAAGGGTTGCTATTCTTAGTCTACCAATTTCTATCGTATTTTGTATTTGTTTCGCAGGAGTAAGAAAGAATGGCTGTATTCTACTTTCCTGGCTTAACTTTTCATATTGTTTGTCTAATTTAGCGAAGCTTTGTTTTGACTGTTTCATTGTTATAAAAAGTTCACAATTTTGATTCGCTTCCTTCTTAGATTCTATACTGGTTTTAATCTTGGTAAGAACATCATTAATCGAGTCAGCAGTGTCACTAGCAGCTTGTAAAGATTGCTTGTTAGATTTGTCCATGTTTCTCATTCGTCTATCCACATCAGCCTCTAATTGATCAAAAAATTTGTTTATTTCATTACGTTGTTTTCTTAACTCTGCCTTTCCCTGTTTCGTTATATCATCAGATATATCTATTTTTAATTGAATCCTGCTCGTGTATTTATTTATGCAGTCATAGTTGCTTTCCAATTTGCTTAAAAATGTTTTGAATTCTTCACTCGAGTTAAGGTCCTTGGCAATATCAGGTATATGGTCGACATTTTCACATTGACGGTGGCTGACAGTTATACAAACATTGCATCCAAGCATGTCACACGAACTACAAAAATATTCCACAATTTTGGTCGGATGATTGCCACATCTCTCTACACAAACATCTTGAGCACGAGATTTCCGGGAATCAAGTGGCATCTTATCATTATCTTGAAGCACATGGTGTTTAAAAGCTTTAAACCTTGTGTGCATTTTGTAACACTGTCCACATAAATATTCCGCACAGTCCACACAGAATCCCTCGGCTTCGATTTGCTTACCACCATCTAGACATGGTTCACAGTAAATTTCCTCCAATTCATCAGATGCTGCTACCACGGATCTGCTAAAATCTTTACAGGTTGCCATTTGAATTTTTCAGTCAATGCCGATTACCTATCCACCATTGATTCTTTCTTTCTTTTTTAAATCCAAACATTAGCGTGTTAAGAAAAAAAGTAAATTTACAAACATACACGTTTTTCGGTACTTTTATATATATCCGATTTTCCGAAACAATTTAAAGCGAAGTATTTGCCTTTTAAAACTCGATAACTAAAGCCCTCTCCTTAAAAACAATCACAACTTCCTTGTTCTGTTTAATCTGGATTTCTGTTTACTCGGTGTTATCTACGAGTAAGTCCGGGAACCAGACATGTGTGCATGTTTAAACGTGAACACGATATATCACGCATAAAATCGTTGAAATTTATATTATTTCAACGTCTAAATAGTGATGAATTTGTTATTTGTAAACTAAACTTTGGTTAGGGATTAAAGCCATGGTTTAAATAAGTTGATAATTTCACGGATTTATATTATAAATCCGTGATAATTTTAACAGATTAAACAGTTTAACAAAATTGATTTTTACAGAATAATCTTGTTTAATTAAGTAATTAAAAAGCAATTGCCACCTTCTCCACATAATCAATTGAAACGGTAGCGGATGAAAAACGATATTATCTAAACAGTCAGAAATCGAATTGTAACAAAAATGTATGTGACTCCCAACCTCTCTGGTACAGATTGATCTGGGTTAGAAAAGAATGTGCTGACTAATGTAAGATACATTTTTTTTGTGGGGGGGGGGGGTGTTTCTTATTAATTGTATAATTGTTGTCAAATAAACCAGACCTGCGGCTTTTGAACATATGATCAGATTTATAGGCTGATAATCAATTACAATTTGTTTAATATGTTTTTTACCGTTGTTAAAAATTAAAGTTTATGTGCCCTTGTGAATTCCAATAATCCTTGTACGAAATTCTAGGTACATGCATGTTTACCTAGACGACATCCTTGTATTTTTGAAGTATACTGTATCAGTTTATTTCCGTTGAGTAAGAACAATATGTAATCATTTTGAAAAGCTTGTTTAAAATAGAGATTGCATGTAAATAAATAACAAGAAAAGTATTGATGCAAAGCATCAAAGGGCGTCCAAGCAAGAAATGCAGCAAGTGAAGATGAACTAGTACACATATGATGACAAGATATTCTTATAAACTACCAGAAATGTATATCACTTATGAATGAGCGGACGATAGACATTGTTCATTATGAACTTTGATTGGGCATGCTAGAGATTAAGAAATATTACTTGTATTTCTTTTTTTTGATCGTGGTTATTAATAGCAACGGAAATATACATGTATGCCAATCCAATTTATAATCCATATGTGTAACGCATGATTGATCAACACGTACTAACATCTTTGTAATTGTCACCTTATTATGTTATCGCTATAAGCGAAGACCCCCTCTTAAGGTATCTGTTCACACTTTAAGTTAGTAAAAATATGACACTGGTTATATTACCATGTTGATCATGTTGAGCATAATTGTTTATTATACAATAATTGTAATATCTATTAATTTTAATAAAAAAATACAATTTTTTTTTCTTTTTTGTGTGTTATGTGCTATTTTAATACTGAGTTTTTACTACGTACTATTTTTTTATTAAAATTGTAAAATAAATTTTAAGAATTCAATTGTCATATTGACCGACGATTATAAGTCAAAGCTTAACTGGAAAAAGTCAGTAAATTATGATTTATCTTTCAATATATAATATTGTTTATTCTTAAACCATGTACATGTACATTTGTATTTTTATTTATCAATTTTTAATTTATCAATCAATTGGATAATTCATAAAATCTAATTTGTAACTTTGAATTATTCCTCGGCATCTTTACTTAACACGGATAACAAATTAAATAAAATGTTTCAAAGTTGATAATGTCATTTTAATACCAGAAAAATGTACCTTTTTCTCAATTATTGTACATATTACGGATTTATATTAGGTATAAATCCGTGTACATATTTCTTGTTTTTATCTCATATAGATAAAATGAAAACATGCTATTTGTTGTGTTTTTTTTCTATTGTAACGATATCAAACATCTACTCCCAAAACCGGGAGAGACCGGGACAATAAACGTGTGGTACTATATCGCCGGTCACTAGTAAAAAATCCCGGTCAAAATAGACCGGGAGAGACCGGTAATTACCGATAGGATGATAAATTAGATATATCTATAAATAGATTTTTGGAATATTTAGGTCATCAACTGATCATTCTAGGATACATGTACAACAATAACATACCATGATAACCCACTGTGTACTACAAAAATGATACATAAAAAACCCCGAAGAGCGCGATTTATAGACGGAAAGGGTTATTTCATTTGAAAATGTTTGCATTGCGAAATTCTCCAGTTCGCTATTCATTGTACATATCGCAACTTTATAATAATCAAGCACCCTCATACCGATCGGAATGATCGGCTTTTATTATGACCGAATAAAAGGCTCGAGAAGTTGCTGTCGCCCTTTCACAAAATCTCATTTCATTCCAAAAGGCGCCGCGCTTCGGCGCGGACGCCAAAAAATCTTTAAATTGAGACTAATTAAATTGAAGTTTCTCTTGATCTTTAGATTAGAAAATTACTCCGAGACATAAATAGTAATAAAATGCCAAATGTGAATGTGAAAATAGCTACATCCATACAAGTATACCCCGATTCCGGTCAATGAAATGTAAAGTAAGATTCAATCTAGATACAGATGGTTTTTAGATGTATCAGTACCGTCATTTTATACCAGGACTGCTACATTTATAAATACAAAAATAATTTAAAACACTAAACCGGTTAAAATTTATTAGTACGCATTTACAAAAATAAATTGGTCGCGCGGCTGCGCCGCGCCTGACCAATTTATTTTTGTAAATACGTACTAGTAAACTGTAACCTATACTTCTACCACATAGGAAAATGTTTAAAAATAAGGTATATATTTTTAATAACAACGAACCTGAATTCAGTTTGATATTAATTAATTCACATATTGACATCATGAGAAGGATTATTAATGTACCATTTTTGTAATTTATTGTTTATGGTATAGTTCTTATTTGAATATAGGGTTATTATAAGTAACAGATTTATCATATACATGTAATCCTATAAGAATATGTACATAATTAAGGTATAATTTTCAAGAACAACGAACATAAATATAGTTTTCTGTACAAATCAATATTTTAACGATCTCAACATTTATGTTCTTTGTATTCATACATGCACCTGTAATCTGGTAGCCTACTGAAATTCATTTATATTTTAAAAAAAAAAACTTAAAAATATTAAAACTTGTTGTTTCTCTTAGAATACAAATTTCATTTGCGCTCTCTAAGACAGTGTCTATTTGACTTGAAGGTGTGATAGAATACTTCCTTATTCTTTCCTCCTTACTCAGCTTTCCAAATTGTTTGTCTAATTTCTCTAAGCTTTGTTTTGACCGTCTCGTAGTTGTAAACAGATCCATGTTTTGCATTTTGTCCTTGTTTGCTTTCACATTTTTTTCAATTTTGGTAAGACTTTCATAAATGGAGTTAGCAGTATGTGTAGCTGCCTGTAACGTTTCCTTGTTATATTTATCTATGGCTTCAATCCTTTTTTCCATATCAGCCTCTAATTTGTCAAAAACAGTGTTGATTTTATCACGTTGTTTTCTTAGTTCTGCCTTTCCCCGTTCCTTCATATCATCAGATTGGTTTGTATTTAATTGGATATTTTTCTTTTCTTCATTTATCTTTTCTAATTTTTTCTCCAACGTGCTTAAAAAATCTTTAAATTCTTCACTCGTACTAAAGTTCTTGGCAATATCAGGTATATGGCCGACATTCTCACATTGACGGTGATGGACAGTTATACAGGCACTACAACCAAGCTTGTCACATGACCTACAAAAATATTCCACAATTTTGGTTCGGGGATGATTCCACATCTTTTCTAAAACAAAAAATCATGAGCACGAGAATTTTTCCCTGAATCAAAATTTGGGAAACTTATCCCTTTTCTTGAAACGCAAAGATGTTTAAAAACTTTAAAACCCTTTTATTTAATTTTTTTAACATTTTCTAAAATAAATATTCCCCAAACTCCACACAGAATCCCTCGGCTTCGATATGCTTACCGCCATCTTGACATGGTTCACAGTAAATTTCTTTCAATTCATCAGAGGCTACTATCACGGATCTGCTATAATCTTTACAGGTTGCCATTTGAAATTTTCTATTACAGTCGGTTACATAATTAACTACGGATTTCTTTTCTTTTTAAATCCAAGTTTCCCTTATTTTCATTAGCGTTTAAAGGAAATTTACAAATATAACAAATGTTTTATTATCCGATTGTACGTTTAATTGTTTGCCTTGTAACGACCCTCTCCTTAGATACAATCAAAACTTCCTTGTTCTATTTAGTCTGGATTTCTGTTTACTCGGTGTTATCTACGAGTAAGTCCGGGAACCAGCTAGTGTGCATGTTTAAACGTAAACATGATATATCACGTATACAATCGTTGATATTTCACATTATTTCAAAGTCTTAATAATCATGTACTTGTCATTTTATCCTAGTAACTGTAAAGAGATGCATGGTTTAATTAAGTTGGTAATTTTAACACATTTATTAGTATAACAAAATTGGTTTTTACAGATTAATCTGGTTTAATTAAGTAATTAAGAAGTAATTGCCACCTTCTCCACATAATCAATTGAAACGGTAGCGGATGATAAACGATATTAGCTAAACGGTCAGAAATCGAATTGTAAGAAACATGTATGTGACTCCCAACCTCTCTGGTACAGATTGATCTGGGTTTGAAAGGACTGTGTTTACTAATGTAAAATACATTTTTTTATTGTATAATTGTTGTCAAATAAACCAAAGACCTGCGACTTTTTTCACATATGATCAGATTTATAGGCTGATAATCAATTACAATATGTTTAATATGTTTTTTACCGTTGTTAAAAATTACAGTTTATGTTTATGTGCCCTTGTGAATTCCAATAACCCTTGTATGAAATTCTGACTTATATGTAAATTAGGTACATGCATGTTTACCTAGACGACATCCTTGTAATTTTGAAGTATACTGTATCAGTTTATTTCCGTTGAGTAAGAACAATATGTAAAAATTTTGAAAACCTTGTGTAAAATAGAGATTGTAGATAAATAAATATCTTTAAATTAACTTATTAAATTGAAGTATCTCTTGATCTTTAGATTAAAAAATAGAACGTTATGTCCTTTTGAAATTTTGAAAGAATTATTTTTTCTGATGTTTTAATGATATAATTTTATCTAGAAAATACAATATTCAAGAAGTAAATAATATGATTCTTGATTTTCACATGAATTTCTTATGAAACAATACAAAAAATCAAAATTAAGTTTTCTTGAGTCCAAATTTTTGAAAACTGCTTAATTATTTAAAAAATCTTGACATTAACACGACCGAAAAAGAATCCGGCCAATATAAGTATATTTCGAAATAACTAGTAGTTAAACTTGTCGTTTCTGACAGTGGTCCTGGTGGCCTACTTTGTCTATCACTTTTAGCTTGCAGCTCGGAAAAGGCATTATCACTGATTATTATATAAGCATATAGTCTTGTTAAAAATATGTAGATAAATGACGGATTCACGAGGGATCGCAAGTCTAGTATGAAAAAGGCAAACTGTTTGCACAACTTGTGCATTTTCGCTCACATAGGCGTCGGTCTCAACGTCCCGCTGCTACTACGGAAGGGAAAAGTCCAGTACGCTTTTTATTGTCAACTCTTGATGTTTCAGTCTGTTAGGTGTAACATGTCCAACATTTCTTTTGTTCAATTAACGTATACTTAGAATTAGTAATCGCTCTTTCAAGAGCAAATAATTCAAGTCAGTATCGTATCTTTATTAATTTCAAACTGATTTTGTTCAAGTGACCATTTAATTTTTACCTTACATGGCCAATATTCAAGTTTAATCAAGATGGGCAGGGAACAATTAACAACGCTTTTCTGATGTGTGATCTAAATAACTTATTATATTAAAAATAACCTCACTGTTGACATGCATTTTATTTAGATGAGTATTCTGACTCAGATTTATAAAGATATAATATACAGGTGAGAAGTCTGGAAAGGCGAATTACCAAGGTGTAATTTGATCTCTCTATCTTGCGGAAAACCAAATTCTGAAGTTGCTTGAAAATGAAATATTTATGAAAATAGAAATATGTCTTTGGTAAAAACAGGGATATTAATAACATGCAATATAAAACCGTGGTAAAAACAACTGTCTTTGGAAACATAAAACTTTTTGATCATGTCTACCAAGATGATTATTTACTCAAGTGACTATCTGAGCTCTTAAACTCGATAATGTTTATTATGTGTTAGCTGTACATTTAGCATTTACCTAACCATTTATAAGGAATCATATTGCATATTGAAAATAGTAGAGATAAACTATACATTTAGTAAATGGAGAACACTACACAAGAATGTTAACACATACTGTAACTTGTTTTTGTTTTTTTTGCAGATTATTCATTTATTACAATCAAGGTACCTAAATTATCATGCTAAAATGATCAATAAAATTTGGCAATCATCTGTAACTTCAAAAAAATGATACTCTTTGACAAAAGACACAATGTACATGGGACAATCATAGGACTTCACCCTCAGCATAATGTTATAAAAGATGAATAAAAAACACGTGTCTTCTAAACTATTTTATTTTCATCATTACATACATAATTATACATTCTTGTAATTCATGTAAATAACTTTCAAATAAATACAAAAAAAAAAGAATGTAAATGTAATCCAGGACGGACAAGTATCACAGAAAAAAGTATCAAATTACTCCGAGACATAAATTATATGTGAATGTGAAAATAGCTACATCCATACGAGTATATCCCGATTCCGGTCAATGGAATGTAAAGTAAGATTCAATATAAATACAGATGATTTTGTTGTATCAGTACCGTCATTTCATACTAGGACTGCTACATTTATAAAATGGAATAACCCTCATCTTACATATGAGCCAGTCCATTATAGCAGACTGAGGGATTTCAAACTCACAATGTTTAGTACTCATAGAAAAAGAATATTGAATAATATGGACTGGCAATTCAGATATCGACACCTTTGTACAGTAACGGGTTAAGGTTTTATTTAATTTAATAGGAGTTAACCCATTACTGCACTAATGTGTCAATATGCAATTTTGTTTAGCTGTCTTTAGAAGTGCAAGTAACAAAAGAATTAAGGTAAATAAGACTCAAAAATCATTTTTGAGATTTGTAGTCGACCATGCCATATAGTAGCTTCACCTATGTCAACTTTTTAGATAAATAGTTTCTAAACATAATATGTTTGAATTTTAACTAAGCACATGTATACAGTATGGTTTTATTATAAAAAATATAAACTTATACAAAGTCCTATTAAACTAAGCTAAATACAAACATTTTCATAGCTGAAATAATAACAATACAAAAGTTAGTGTCCTTGGATTCTCTTGGATTCTAGCAAAACAAGCAAATTCGTTGAATTTATATCCACCGCCGAGTACTGGTTATTATTAACACAACAACTGAAGACATAAGGCTTTATTTATATATTAATCATGGCATAAACAGTTTGAACTTGATAAATATTCAGGGAAATAACAGAGCCATAACTTTGTGTTAAATAGTAAAATCTGGAAATGCCAATGAGATGTATGCATACTACATAACTAATCAAGGGCCATAAATCTGAGTTATAAGTATCTGACTGGAACAAGGCGACTATATGCACATCTCCTCTTAGTATCCCATTAAGTTTCATTGAATTCCAGCCAGTGGTAGCAGAGAAGTAGCGAGGAAACAAATATTTTTCTATATGGATACTGCATAACTAATCAAGGGCCATAACTCTGAGTTAAAGTGTCTGACCGGAACAAGCCGATGATATGCGCATCTCCTCTTGGTATTGAAGGTTCCCATAAAGTTTTGTTGAATTCCAGCCAGTAGTTGCAGAGAAGTAGTGCGGAAACGATTTTTACTCTATATGCATACTACATAACTAATCAAGGGCCATAACTCTGAGTTAAAGGGTCTGACCGGAACAAGCCGACGATATGCGCATCTCCTCTTGATAATGATGATACCCATAAAGTTTCGTTGAATTCCAGCCAGTAGTTGCAGAGAACTACTCCGGTAATGATTTTTACTCCATATGCATATTGCATAACTAATCAAGGGCCATAAATCTGAGTTAAAGTGTCTGACCCGAACAAGCCGACGACATGCGCAGCTCCTCTTGGTATTGAAGGTTCCCATAAAGTTTCGTTAAATTCCGGCCAGAAGTTGCAGAGAAGTAGCGCGGAAACGATTTTTACTCCATATGCATACTGCATAACTAATCAGGGGCCATAACTCTGAGTTAAAGAGTCTGACCGGAACAAGCCGATGATATGTGCATCTCCTCTTGGTATTGATGATTCCCATAAAGTTTCGTTGAATTCCAGCCAGTAGTTGCAGAGAAGTAGCGTGGAAACGATTTTTACTCTATATGCATACTACATAATTAATCAAGGGCAATAACTCTCAGTTAAAGTGTCTGACCGGAACAAGCCGACGATATGCGCATCTCCTCTTGATATTGATGATTCCCATAAAGTTTCGTTGAATTCCAGCCAGTAGTTGCAGAGAACTACTCCGGAAACGAAATTCGAACGGACGGATGGACGGACGGACGGTCAGATGCGCATCTCCTCTTGATATTGATGATTCCCATAAAGTTTCGTTGAATTCCAGCCAGTAGTTGCAGAGAACTTCTCCGGAAACGAAATTCGGACAGACGGATGGACGGACAGACAACGCCAAAACTATATTCCCCTCCCGATTCCATCGGCGGGGGATAAAAAGGAAGATATAAATTTAGTGTACAATAAGCATAAAGACAACTGTATGTACTTTCATGACCAACATATATTTCTTTAGGATTTAGATCACGAGTATTCACTATACCATGCCACATCTTATATGCATTAATCAATGCCTATATAAAATAATGTTGGCTAGTTTATAGTTTACATTCATAGTCATGTGAAGCATTATGTATCACATAACACAAGTTTTTTCATAAAACGCTTCAGCGACTGCTCCTCTTCAAATATGTAGCTCCTTGAAATATTTGAAATTGTCAATATGCAGTAATTTCATACCTTAATGAAGTCAAAAGGAAAATTCTGAATTAAGTTTGCAAACTTACAGTTACTGTATTAATTTAGATTTTTCTTAAGCCAGAATGTGTTTTATTTTACATATTGACCCTTTATCTAGTCTAACATATAGATATTGATAAGTGATAAAAACATATTCATATTTTACACTTGAAACTTTTTAGGAGCATCTACGGAAGAACACTTCCAATCAAATCAATTTCTACTCATACATTTTTTTCTTCAAACCATGAGCAAATTATTTCTTTTTTAGCAATACAAAGAATAAAAAATTATCACTATAATTTAGCACATTACATCTAACAAAACAATTAACCCTCTTTATCTAACTCCTGGTATTGTAATTCCAAACTGCTCGCTAACTTGTTTTAATTTCTCTTCATAAAGTATATTTTTCTCTACTGATTGTTTATAGTTAAACTTCAGATCTTCTATTTCTTCAAAGAAGTCTGGTCCAAATGTGCCCAGCTCTTTTCTTAACTGAAACAAATTTTTTTAGAAAAGTTAGATATATACAAAAAATACAAACAAGAGCTGTCCGTAAGACAGCGCGCTCGACTTTTTTATTGCTTGCCAATAAAAAAAGTTTTTGCAGTAAAAGGCAATACAAGAATCTCTGTATTTTTAAAGTGAACAATGGCCATGAGCATTAAGATATTTAGTGAAGAATTATTTTACTGAATTGTGTGATACCCTTGAACACTGCAGCAAAGTTTGAAATGTTTAAGTCAAAAGAGGGCTGGTAAGAAAGAAAAAAAAACTGAGTTGAGCCTTAAATAAATTTAATAGTATTAAACCCACTTTGAGAGAATAAGGTATTTTTACGTCACTCAGAACACCTTGGTAAATGACATAATAACATAATTTTTCAAGAAATCTATGCCAAGGAAGCAGTATATTTTTGTACAATCAGCATAATATATAGATTTGACTTTGTATGTGAAAGTATTATAGTTTTTAGATTTTTTAAGTTTTTTAGTGCTTGCCTATAATACAAAACATTGACAGTTAAGGGCCATAATTCAAATAAAATCTTTGACAGAATTACCTTCTCCTGGACATGTTTGGGAATCATGATTGTAAACAAGTATTCCAACTTTCAAATTAATATCTCAAACAGTTCAGTCAAAAAGTGGACTGGTACTAAAAACTTAACCAAGATTCTAAGTCGATAAAAGGCCTTAATTTTTAAAACAAATCCTTGACAGAGTTACCTTCTCTTGCGTACAGATGGGGGTAATGATGTGAAATAGCATTAAAAGTTTCAAAGCAATATCTCAAAGGGTTAAGGCAATAAGTGGATTTTACCCATATTCAATGTATTTTCTAAGTCAAAAAGGGGCATAATTCTGTCAAAAACCTTGACAGAGTTATGTCCCTTGTCTGTTGATGAAGGTCGTGATGGTAAACAAGTATGGTCAGTTTCAAAGCAATACCTCCAATGGTTTTGAAATAAAGTGAGGTGGTACAAAAAACTTAACCAAGCTCAATACACTTTCTAAGTCAAAAAAGGGCCATAATTCTGTCAAAAACCTTGACAGAGTTATGTACTCTTGTCTGTAGATGGAGGTTATGATGGTGAACAAGTATGGTAAGTTTCAAAGCCATACTTGTAATACTTCTGAAATAAAGTGGGGTGGTACGAAAAACTTAACCAAGGTGTGACGCCAACGCCGACGCCGACGCCGGGGCGAGTAGGATAGCTCCCCTTTTCATAGAAAAGTCGAGCTAAAAAACAAGTAATTCATTTGACAAAATTGACAAAATATCTGCCTTAATTAATAATTCAAATATGCTGACATCATATACATAATTCTATATGGTCCTTGCATGGTTCAGGTATATTCTGTTTTGAGTAAAGTAAAATTATCTAAACTATATATTTAACCTGGCTGACAGGTAGCTGACCTACCAAGTGTTCTTGGATTAGTCAACAAAAGAAGATTTACACATCATGACAGCAAATACATATGACCAACAAACTGTGCTAGGCTTATTTTTTAATATAATTTATCTAAACTATTTATACTTTTTAATAAGTTTTAACACTCTTACATATGATTCTTTCTTTTCATGATTCATAAAAATTTAATGAAATAATAGTGTTTTTTAATTAACTTTTACAAAATCTTGCTTTACAGAGAAGTCATACAATAATTACAAATCTTCAAATAGATTTTTTTAGTCTTAATTCAACATTGTTAATCAATACTTACTCTGTCTACTTCCAGTTTTGTTTTGTCTCTTTCAAGGCGGATAGTTTTTAGTTCAAGTCCTAACTCTATATTCTCTGTCATCACTTTGTCGTAGTTATTTGCCTTTGTAAAGATTTCTTCACTTATCTGCCCAATCATAAAAAACAACAAATTATGTCACATTTAAGATGTCAAATGCTTGTGTAAATTTTCTTAAACATGTTACTGGCTTGAATTAAACTTTGAATCCTTTATAGAAATAACAATACTGTCAAGGAAATAAATCTTCTTATATAAAATTCTTCTTATTTCAAAATGCCATGACTGCATAACACGGCTGCATCTACAACTTTTCTATCTCTTAAAATCGAGTCCCAGTTATTGTGCTCTAATATCAAGTGACAGGAAATTATCATAAAACTAATTTTGCTACAAAAAAAATTTTGCTGCATCATCAAAACCTCAAAACAACATGAATCAGGGCATATTATCTGTGAATATCCTTGAGAAATTGGGGGAGGAATAACACACAAAAGAAACTGTTTATGACCAGACACCTGCTGTTGGATATTCGTAATCAGATCTTTAATAAAAAAACATTGTTTATAAGTGTTAACTAATTTCAAGATAGATGTTTCTAATCTATACATTTGATTGACCTGTTAAATTATATCAAAACACAATATTTCTACACTTACATTCCCAGCACCAGCTTGTCTTCTAGCCATTGTAAGTTCAAATGCAAGTTCCTTCTTCTCATTCTCTAATCTGTCTATAGTCAACCTGAAACAGAGAGGTACTTGAGGAGTTAAGGGTACATCAATATCTATAGAAACGAACAGTTATTGCCAAAATGTTTGATACTGTTGTCTGAAAACAATACTTATATGCATAATTTGAATTTTACTTATTTAATAATCCCCCTTTAAAATAAACAGCACAACAAAAGATAGAAATAGATACAGGCTCTAGAAATTGCTAATTTGACAATTACCCGCAAAAAAACAATTGAAATAAGGTTTAAATCTGAAAGTATATGATAAAATAAACATAAATATCCTGATAGTTTACCTGGCTTGTTGGTAGTCCCTGGCAACATCTATATCTGACATACCAGAGCTTCCCGGGGGTATCTTCTCAAGAACAGCAACCTGTTTTAATACAAAGAATGTTAGAAGGTATTCTTTCTGAATACAGTGAAAATAATGTGCCAAAGACAAATTCAAAAAAAAATGAAAAAGATACTACATGTAGTAATTAGTAATGAATGGTATGCTTTAAGACCTATTAAACTGAAGATCCTGCTATATACAATGTACAACTACTAGTTTCGAAACACAACAAAAACAATGTATTTACCTTCTTTAAAAGCTGATCTTTCTCCGCCATCAACCTTTGTTCCCTGACAGCAGCTTCTTTCAACAATGTCTTGGTTTCTGACAAAAGTTTCGTCTACAAAAAAATTAACAAGTTGTTTTTTTATACACCTATTAGCAAAAACCAGTCTAAACTTTTAATCTTCAAGGCATTTTCTTCCTCTAAAGTAAAAATTGTATGTCATCTCATGTTTTGGCAATACACTAAACAAAGAAGTGTTGGTAAAGGTGTTTCCCTTTAATCCTAATGATTCTCAATATTCACCTTACTATTGTCATGATGTATCAACATTTGACATCAGAGCTGTTTATTTCATGACAGGGACAAAAAATAGTTATCAGACCCTTCACAACTGAGCTAAAATAAAATTTAAAGCAATACTTCAATCTGAGAAATAAATTTATTTGTTCAGATTGGAGACTTGACAAGATTTGATGCAAAACCTTGGTACTTCAAATTTTCTTCTTACATTTTGTATAAGTGTTCTCACCAAAGTACATTAATAACTTTATTCAGACTTCTAAAACTTCCCTTTATGTAAAAAAAACTAAAAGAAACATAAAAATGATAGTGTTTCATAAGTCTTTATCACCAAAACAAATTATAATTTAGTTCATACCTTTTTATCAACCTCTACCTCCAAAGATTTCAGTCTATCTTCATACATGCGTGTCACAACAGCTGATTTCCAGCCCTTTCCATCAGCCCCTTGTCCATCCTCAGTCTTCCCTTCCTCAATCTGGAGTCTTGTCCTAGACTCTGCCATCCTGCCTTTCTGTTGCTCGATCTTGATCTCCAGGGAAGTTATCTGAGCACGAAGTTTTTCATTGCTATCCATTTCCTGTGTGAAAAAAATTTATGTTAAGCAAAATATTATCTATGTGTGTATGTGCACTTAATTAAAGGTACAAGGATTTCTTATTTAGTTATTTTGATAATGCAACACACCAGAAAAGAGCATGGTTACATTGCACCCATGTGCAAGCTTGCCTGACCCTATACTGCTGAAATAGGTCTTTTATTTTTACAATACAAGCTCAAAGACTAAAACTTGCCTTCATGAGATCTTTCCTCATTTTCTCATAATCGTTCATCATTTTAGCTGTGCCTTTTTGTTGACTTGTGTATCTCTCACTCAGCGTGGCTCCAATCTTCTGTCGCAATTCGTCTAGCTGAGACTGTAAGAAAATAAGAGTACAAAATCTTTACAAATGTGTTTTATGGTTAGGTTTAATTTACATCAATTTTTAAAGGCATTATGCCAACTTTTCAACCTCAAATTCTTTGCAGTCCATTATTTCAGGCAGCAGTAAGCACATAATTAGAATCAGCTACATTTTGAAAGCTTGGTAAAAAGTTTCCTACATGAGTGGAACTTTACTATGCCTTTTTGCCTGAATAATGTTTTGTTGAAAAAATAATTACCACACTCTAAATTTAACCAAAACTTTTAGTATATTGTGCTTGAAACTGCAAGAATTTTCTTAAGAGACGGACCTTAATCCAATACAATATTTCTCTTTTATTTGTTTTAATTTAATCAATGATTTTCCAAGATAAAACATTCCTTATACATTGTGTACATGTACAAGTTATTTGCATGTTTTTATTTATATCTTTAGCTTTCATTATTGAATATATAACTAATGACTTGGTTACAAATCGTAATACTTTCATGTTATGATATAATTTTTAAGAACACAAAAAAAGGAAGTCACTTTGTGTTAGTTCAGGCACAAATGGCGCCTGAGTAGAACCACCAACATTCCATAAGCTAGCTGGATAGCTTTCTTTCATGAAAGAAAGACACTTGGGTGGCTCAAACCTACAGCAGTGAGATTTGAAGTCAAATACCATAACCACTCGGCCACAGACGCTCCCTAAAGATATTCAACAACTCATTAACCTTTCTATTATCTGTATCAAATAATAACAACAACAACAAAAACAAAATAATCATTACTTTAAGTCCTTCATTCTCCATCTGTAGATTTTGAAGTCTTTCATTACTGACAACACCAGGTGCTTTCTTTAATTGTTCATTTTCAGACTGAACCCTTTCTACAACTTTCTTTAACAGAGCTACAGTCTTCTCTAGTTGTCTAGTGCTCTTTCCACTCTCTCCGATCTGAAAACGTACACATTTTGTCAATCCATTACATTGAAATATATCTAAAGTATTGATACATTTTGTCATGACACAATCAAGTTCCTTCTCACATAGAACTGAATGATCAAAGTACAGATGCATAATATAAAGTATTATAAGCAACATGCTTAATGCAAACTAGAAATCTGATTCTAATATGCAAATGAAAGAGAATGACAGAAAATATGTTGAAGTGCATTTAGCTAAGACGTGATTTTCATTCAGATCATACTTGACATCAAATGACATGTCAACAGTATTAGTCCACTTTACACTTTTAAGTTAAATTTTTACTGGAAAATACCTTAGGTGATGCTCTGTTGTATTTTTTTCAGGCACCTGAACAAAAAATACTTAATACTTGATTAGCTGGATTGCTTTCTCATGTATGTCTCATTTTTATTGGTGTTGGTGATGATGATGATTATGATAATATGTAATGGATAATGTTGTTGTTATTATTATTATCTTTTTTATTATTCTAGATAACTTGCTGGCTAATTAAAGTAATGCTTTCTCGCTAATTCACAGTGAATGTATATATAAAATTATATATTTTGACATATAGGTATGTTGGGCTTTATCATTTTTCTCTGCTTTATATTGTAGAAATATAGTTCTATTATTAATACCCGCTGTATCTTTTTGATCCATATCTATTTGTTAATTACTTTACATTCACATTTTTGCGCAAATTTGTCATGTTGATGTTGGCGTCCTAACGAACGTGACATCAAATACTTTGTACGTTATTCTGATGAAGACAACAGTCGAAACTAGTAAAGATTAAAGAAATATGTGTTGTTTTGGTATATTTTAACTCATATTATCCTAGCAGCATTTGAACCCACATCATGAGTGGTAAAACCTGGTCAAAGTCCGCAACTAAACCACATAACCAATGGTTCAATGATCTTTGCTATTATCGTTATTTAAGTGAGAAAAAAATCCCTTAAATATAATCTCTTAAAAATAATTATTTTAGAATAGAATGTTACTATAACATTATAAATTACCCTTCTGATTGAAGATCCAGCAGAATCCATGGATCTATTGGTACCATCACCAGCTAGAAGCTGACTATTCTCTGACTTCAGAGCCTCTACATATCTCTGTAGATCTGTAATTCTGTCCTGATAAAACAACACAAAAATATCATTAACATCACAAATATATGTTACTTTTCAGATTGGATATTCTAATTTGTGTAACAGTAGGTAAGTAATCAGAATCATTCTTTCAATCATTAATTACACAATAAATAAAGATGCTGGGTTTTACAACAACACACCGATTAACAGTTTCTAAACTAGCAGACGACCAATATTTTACATAACCGAACACCCATTGTAGTCTATGAGGATCTTACACTGGCTGCCACTGTACAGACTGGAATATGTAGCTTAAGCGTGACTGTTTATTTAACGAGGCTCTCCCAAGTTTCCGCTGAACAGTAACAACAGCCAGTGTTTGTGTCTTTTTCTTGCATATTTCATATTAATTGTAATCCAGAAAAAAATTATGAAAACTTATATATTTCTATTTAGCACTTTCTTTTCTTATAGAAGCATACAAATTAACAACTTAAATCATAACGGCAAATGACAACATTCTAAGAACGCAATTCACTCATGAAAGACGAAGGAACGACATTATTTAAAGTTTGCGACTTGTCTGACATGGGGGGTGTAAAACAGTGCTTTCTAGCACCGATGTAAACAGTAGATAATTCTCTCTGATATGCAAGAAAATATTTTATGGCTGTATGGTTATTACATTATATACAGATTGCTTTTGCTTAATTTCTATGGCAGAACCATCGCAGATCCTGTGGTGGCATAAAAAAAGCAAAACTTTTTATAATTTTCTTGTTATTTTCCATTTTCTATTTTTTTTTATATAAATTTTGCACATAAAACTATTGAAACATGATACATGAATAAGCTTAAGTTCAAAGGAGTGCACATTGATTGTGGAACAAGAGCAGTAAATGAGTGTTAGGCCTATATTAATTATAGCAATAGTAAAACAAAATGAACCTTTAGTCTGGGAATATCTTTCTTGGCTTGTTCAGCCTCAAACTTCAGTTCTATGTTCTCCTCTGACAGTTTGAGCACCTGTTTCTGTAAATTCTGACTCTTCTCAAATATCACCTGATACTCTGACCCCTGTGACCCTGACCCTTCTGTTGGTGACTGAAATAGATGGATAATTTCATATTAAGAATAATCATCATTATCCCTGTGGTGAATGAGACTGAGAAACATCAATGTGATTATTATGCAATAAGAAAGTTAAACAGATAAAAAGATAATGGTATACTGGTGCCTCATATTTCCATGTTACTTATATCTCCAAGGTATTCAGCATAAACAGCTCAAAGTGCCCCATAGACTTCATGCACCTGCCAGTTTTACTTTCACTTTCTTTTACTTTTGTTTTTTTATCAAAATGTTACACATATGACTGAGAAAACTTATTATATTATTCAGATGAAGAGCAATATAAATTATTTCACCATTCAATTTTCAGTTTTCATACCTTTAAAGACAATTGTCTCTGTTAAACAACCATTGAAATATTTGATAAATGCTACAGAGAAAATCCCCGCTTGCAGATGAGGCTAGGTATAGATGTGCTAAACATAAATAAAGGTTACTATTTATTTTGCGTTTAAAACGTTAAAATGTAAACTGCCTTGGAAATATGAGTCAACAACTTTTACTCACTATGCAGCAGATGGGTGTTAATTTCATGTTGTGTACATTATTGCTTAATGCAAACATTGAATTGAATATACTATGATGTAATTGACATGTCTATTGTACAATATTCAAGGTATTTTCAAGAATTTTTTTCTTCTCACATTAATTTTGTTGTCCTCGTTAAACAGTTAAGTATCACGGAAATATGAGACACTGGTATACATGGAGAAGATTGTTTCAGTTATTTCAAGGTCAAACATGTAAGATTACAATACATGTATACATGTACAAAATAAAGTTTAACTACTTCTGCAGCCTTCTGTTTTGACGTCGCCATTTTGAAAAACAACTATTATTTGATGACGTCATCTATGACGTTGTGACGTCAACGTTTTCCCGTAAATTACATTTAAGAGAGACATATGACAATTCTCTTTACAATGGTATATAGCCCTTAATTATTGCATCAGGAATGACTTATTTATTCAACTTCAAAACAGTATCAGATATTTTGGATCACCCTGTATGATGATATTTAAAAAAATGTTCACTGAATTTTATTATTAACAATTTTGTGATGAAATCTTTGATCTTCAATTGCATTAATGTACTCGTTTTACAAAACATGAATGAATTCTTTGACAAATAGGGCATTAAAGACAGAGGTATGCCTAATATGGCCATGTATTCAAGTACCTTGGCAGTGGATTGTTGTTTCTGAGCAACAACTTGCTCCATTATCTCCACCTGTTCAGCAAGTTGCTGACTTCTTATCTTCTCTTCTTGTAGAGGTACCTCTCTTCCAAGCAGCAACTGTCGTTTTAACTCTGCTACCTGTAAGTTATAAAATTCAAACACATAAGTTCTATTCTTAAATTTGCAGCATGTACCTTATTATCAACTAAAATAATTACATTTTTAAATTGAAACTGGACTTGATTTCTATATTCAAACCTACATATACCTGTAAAATACAGAGTTTAGATAAGTATGCTAAATTTATATCTTGGAATCTTTCAGGACAGGTTGTATATTTGTAGTATGGGAATATTTTGAAATTAAATCTTTAAATAACAGTGTGTCAAGGACAACCCTATGCTTTCAATAGGCAATCCTGAAAATCTCATTTACAGACAATCATGTCTGAAACATTGTTGTTAGGCTCACTGAACTGGCAATTGTTTGCCACTAACATCTACTGACTCAAATCCATTAAGAAGCTACAAAATCTTTATCTATCAAGTATGGAAGCTATTCTTTTAGCTTATGAAGGGTTGATGGTTCAAGCAACCTGATTGAATATGGAATGTCATCATATGACCTTACTAATATCAGAATGACTTTAAAATCATAAGTCTTTTATCATGAAATATGTTGAGGGAAAAGGAAGAATGGGTTTTTGTATAAAAGAATTATATTGCAACCTTATTTGATATGTATGTCTTTGTTGTTGTTTTTTCCTGAAAAGACCATACCCAGCTTTGGCTAGTCAATGAATTTTATGGATATTTTCATTAAAGAAAAGTTACACTGTGACTGACACTGATTTTCATTGATCACAATGGAACCATTCTACCAATGTCATGACAAGAACCTTTATTGTACACATATTTTAGACATTGATTAACTAACCTCTTCCTGAAGTTGATAATTCTGGTTTTTAAGTTTCTCCAGCTGATGGTCAGGTTTATAAGGTGCGGATGTGAGGGGTGGGGCTGCAGCACCTCCTGAGGGTTTGGCACTTAGTCTCCTCTCTAAATTATCCTTCTCCCTTGTAAGTCTGTAATGAAAATACCATTAAATGTCATTATATCATAAAGTGAATAAAGTTTGAGGGACAAACACTGTCATTTTCTAGAATTTTTTTTACCAGAGGGGGTTACAAATAATGCTTAAACCAGAGGGGATTTGGCATTCTACTAGTTTTTAGGGAGTCACAGGTCAAATTTTGGTTGATTTCACTATTTTTTTTATGACATAATAACCTAATCTCAAGATATACTACTAATATGATATTTATTCCATTAATATAATTTAAGGCCCACGCATACATTTTTTTCTTCAATGTGTAATGTAAAATCATACTACACAAAATAATGCATGTCAATCCCACTTAAATGTTAAAAAGCCCATCATGCTAGCATGCTATACTTTAATTCACTTCATTAATTTAATTGTCTAACATAACATATTCAAAAGGTAAGCTTGTTTTATGAAATAAAGTTAAACCTTATATCCAAATGCTTATTGAAATTTTTTTAATAATAAATCATGAAGCCACAGTATGCATTTAAGATGTCACTTATCTTGATATAATGCAATAAGCTTTGCAGTAAATTTGCACAGCACTCACACATAACAAGATAAGAATATGTCTGAAAAAAGTATTCTTTGCAAAGTCTTTTATCTCTAAAGTTAACTTAAGTCAAGACACATTTCAATTTTACAAGCTATAAGTGAATGCAAAGATATCTAACAATAAACAAAACTGAGTAAAATCAGCCTACCATTTTTATCTCCATTAATAATTAATCATATATATCAACATGTATTAATCAATTGAAAACTAATCTCATTTGATGTCAATTAAACCTTTGAATTAAACAAATCACACAAACTTTTTTTCTATATTTGGTATTTAACCGCTTAACTTATGCACAATTTCATAAAAGCCTCAGATATATTCATCATTCAATCTACATTTTACATGTATAGTATTAAATAATCCAATACTATACATTTTTGTACAATATACTACCAATACAAGTATATAGATTATAAACTATTGGAAATACCCACGCTTATAAAACATGAATGAACTTGTAAATATTAAAGCAAGTCAAAGCTATAGTCTGTTTCAAATCTCAATAACATTATTGTCATACAGTATAAATTTGATTACAGACAAATAAGGTATAAAATAATGGCCAGTTTGCCACTCTTAGTACTCACGTAACTTGGTTGCTTTTATCATGATTACAGACATATATTCATATTATCTTCTTTGTATAGACATGTTATTTTAACAATAACTTTTGAATGCATTATTTTTGTGCAGTTTCACATTCAATCATTTAGATATAGCCCTAATAGGTAAGGCTTCTCTAGTTCAAAGCAGTTATTTTATCCTTTGTTCTTAAAGGAACTCCACTGAGGACCAAAAGCCTAAAAACATAAAATTTGAATTTCTTACAAAGATCAGCTGAGAAACTTAAAACAGAAATATATATATATGCAAAAGATAATTAAGAAATATACCCAGAAATAAATTGAAAATTGTATTTTGTGCTATTCTAAGTCTGATTTTAGTGAAAAGCGCAGGAACACTTTTCAATTATGGGTAATTTTCCACAATTAGAAAAATTATTCTGGGAAAACAGAATAAGCAAATGATCTTAATTTTGCACACTAGTTATAGAGCTGGAACTACAACTAATGGAACATTAGTCTCAAAAAATTATTTCCATTATTACCTTTCATAAAACACAAACTTACCTGTCAGATATATCTTTGAGCATTTTATTAGATTTTTGTAGTCTGTCAATCTCAGCATCTCTTTCCTTGATCTTTGACCTCATTTTCTCCACAGTTTTCTGCCACTTCTTGCTCTCCTCCCATTTTAGAAGCTCCTCACTGCCTCCACTCCCCTATAATATAACATGCATGGTATCTTCATAAACTTTATAAACTATTTATCCTTATTGTCCTTATGGTCACTTTTTTCCTTTAAATTTTACTTTCTTAAGTCAGGTTTTATAACAGTTATATAACTTGAAACAATTATTACTTTTCCAGATTTATTGGATGAAAGACAATGCGTGATGCCCACAAACCCTGCATTATGTGAGGCAGGTATGGGTACACAGGATGAACCACTGACATGCTGCCAGCTAACTTGATAGTCTGTGAAAATTCAATCTTCCTGACAGTATTCAAACCTTCAGCAGAAATATGGAGTCAGGAATCCTAAAGCACTTGGCCACTTTGGATCATAGTTCATAAAATCATTTTTATAGACCAGTGAAATTCTTATACTGATGATGTACATGTATTATCAATTTGCATGAAAATCTTTCTTTTCTTAAAAGCTAGTCTTTTACAATCCAGCTAATGAATTTTTTTTGTCTTTTTTTTTTTTGATACCAGGCTTTTCTGTCTTAAACTCAACAGATGCCTAAATGGTGCTTTAGATCTTGTCTCATCTACCAGCAAATTGTTTTTGATTTAAGATAACTTGTTTGCTAAAAGCTTTTATTGTATATGCCTTCACACTCTGTAACCCCATCGTGTATTGAAATGGAAGTGGTAAATAATTTTACGAGGCTCAAACTAAGTAAAAGTTTACCTTAGGTGGAGGATCCCTTGGTGATTCTTTCTTAACATCGTATGGTTTCTCTGCCGCCTGGCCCTTACGCTTTAGTTCACCTTCCAGGAGTCGAACCTGACGTCTCAACTCATCCATTTCACGCTTTGTATTCTCTTCACCAGTTTTCTGTATAAAACATATTTAGAAAATATTAATGCATACATAATTATATTTCATTCATTTCATTCTGGTTTGGTTTAAAGATATATTTCCTAATGTCAAATTTGAGCCTAGTATATCTTTAAGATATCATCACATTAATATGTTCACATGGCAACTTTCAGCTTTATATACAAAAGCTATTGTCTGGGTATAACTACAGTAAAACCTTTACAGAGCGACCACCTCTAGAGCAATTACCTCTTTACAACAACAACTTCTTCACAAAGAAAAGATTTCCACTATATTTTTTATCTCTGTAGAACAAAACATCTTTAAAAACACAAAACTGTGTCTTCCAAAAAGAATAATAATTTTACCAGCTGGCATACATGTAGCAGGTGTTTAGTTTAACACCATATACATGTACTGTAAATTCACTTAATTTTGTGGGCATGAAATTTAATGGTTTTATCAAAACCAAAATTTTCATGGGTTTTTAAATTCGCGGACTTTTTTTGTTTCCCAAAAGATAAAACGTAAATAATGGGATGCAAAATAATTTTACAGCAGACGTAATGAAATTTCATTGGATTTTAAATTTGTGGGTTGACTTATCCACAAAAACCAAGAATATAAGTGCCCCATGAATAAAAATGATTTTGCAGTATGCTTTCAATGGAATGGAGTTAGTCAATTTACACAACATATTGTTTTGTAAATGTTTTAATGTTTTTGTTTTTTCAAATATTTGAAATGTAAAAGTCCTACCTGTGTTTTCATTGTACTCATTCTTTCTACCTTCTTTTCAAGCTCTTCAATTTCTGATTCTAGCCTCTGCTTATCTCCCTTTAATTTATGCACAGATTTCTCCTTTTGGGCTGCAATTGTGACGTAATTATCTTATTTTCATGACAAAAATATAATAATTTAGATTAAAATATTTCTTAATGTAACATAATGCATATAATAATTATGTTTAGATAGTTTAAACATATTCTGTTCAAGCTTGACAGCGAAAGCAACTTATGGATCATTGATTCCAACATTTGAAGTCTTGAAAATCTATTTCCGCTCAAGCTGGTGCTAAGGGATGTCACCCGGATGTGGTACTGTTTAATTATCCTTCATGTACACACTCAATCAAACTGAGTCTGCAATACTGATGTAATTTTGTTATTAATGCATCTAAGGGATCACACTTTGTCTAGACTTTTTTTACATTAATCACTTTCAAGTCTACTTCCTGGAAACTAACCAGTACTGGAGTCATGATTCTGACCAAAGTAGGGCTATAACCTTACCTATGACCTGTGGGTTGAGAGGCAGACACCTTAACCACTAGGCCACCACTACCCTCAAATATATTAAGTTGGAAAATATAAAGAGGATACTGAATGAGTGTAGATTAAATACTAAATTTATTGAGCAAGTGTAATTAAACATTAGTGTTATATCGTTTTTATAAAATGGGTGTATTACACTCCTGTGCCGTGGTTTATGTGATAAATATTTGAGCCATGTCATGACAAAACCAACATAATGGGTTTGCGACCAGCATGGATCCAGACCAGCCTGCACATCCCCGCAGTCTGATCAGGATCCATGCTGTTCGCTATCAGTTTCTCTACTTGAAAATAGAGTTGGTAAGCGAACAGCATGGAACCTGATCAGACTGCGTGGATGCGCAGGCTGGTCTGGATCCATGCTGGTCGCAAACGCACTATGTTGGTTTTGTCATGACACGGCTCATTTCTTGAGCTGGAATAACTTATCTTGATTTCACCAATCTAATCTTAATACTACATGGTATCAATGCAAGAAAGGTTACCAGGAAGAATTCTTACTTAGTTCTTCTCTAAAGTCATCAATCTCAGACTGTAAACTACTCTCTTTGTCCTTTCTCTTCTTCAATTCCTTCTTCTGTCTTTCTATTGTGTTCTGTAGATCTTCTATCTGGTCCTGATATAACAAAAAGAGACACTTATTTTATGTTTATTCTACATACAGCTTGAAGAAATAAGATCTCTGATCTTTGTGTTGCTGACTTTATGAAATAGAAGTATCTTTGAAAATTTGATAATTTCCATTCTTATTCAAGCTTGAGAGTCAAACTAATAGTCTTATATCAATCACTTCAATGCCCAATATCTGGGTAAAAACATATGAGCCGCGTCACGACAAAACCAACATAATGGGTTTGCTACCAGCATGGATCCAGACCAGCCTGCGCATACGCGCAGTCTGGTCAGGATCCATGCTGTTCACTATCAGTTTCTTGACTTGTTATAGGGTCTGTAAGCGAACAGCATGGATCCTGATCAGACTGTGTGGATGCGCAGGCTGGTCTTGATCTATGCTGGTCGCAAACCCATTATGTTGGTTTTGTCGTGACACGGCTCAAACAATAAGTACTCAATAGTTTCATATGAGGCCACATTGCCAGAACTTATGTAAACCTTAAAATATAATACCCGAGTTAAGAGGCAGACATCTAAATCACAAGCCTGATGTTATTTCAAAATTGCTTTGATGAAAATTGCTGTATCAGACACAAACAGAATACATGTAGTTCAACCATCAACAGTTTGCATTATCAAAATTCTTAAAGAACAATTTCATAAAATATCAACACAAAATATTAATTTGGTAATATCAATCTAGAAGTATACTTACAGTTAGCTCCTTTGTATGTTTATCAACAATTTTCTGTACATTAACTTGCTGAGATGAATCTTCAGAATGGGCCTTAACTTGTTCCTGGGCCTGGGTAACCATGTCTGCTCTAAGTTCTGTCAGGGCCTTACTTAAAGCCTGAAAATATTCAAGTATCATGTATTGAACATCAGTGAAAAGTTATCTTGATTACTATGTATAAATATCTGATTGTTCAAACTATAACATTCCCAAACAGTACCCTGCAACACAAAACCATTGGTAAAGTACCCAGCAATGCAACAAACAAAATGGAGAGCATTATGGTCATGAATCTATAAATAAATAAGTTTAGCATCTTCCTTCATAAAACAAGTATTATAGATACATTGTACTGTATAAGATAAATTTATGTCAACTTAATAGCGTTCTCTAACATGTATTTTAGTTCATCATCAGTTGTCAATGAAAGTTTGAATTCACTTTGAATAGTGGAATAATTTGTAACATAACATATGTAACATACCTGGTGTTTTTGAATAGTGGAATAATTTGTAACATAACATATGTAACATACCTGGTGTTTTTGAATAGTGGAATAATTTGTAACATAACATATGTAACATACCTGGTGTTTTTGAATAGTGGAATAATTTGTAACATAACATATGTAACATACCTGGTGTTTTTGAATAGTGGAATGATATGTAACATAACATATATAACATACCTGGTGTTGTTTCTCCTTCAACGCTAGCTGATTCTTCAATCTCTCCACAAGGTTTTTCATTGTTGTAGTCGGTGCACGAGAGTTAGCATCCTTGGCTGTACCGAGCTCCTCATTGAGCAGTTCAAGTTCTTTAGCCTGATGTTCCACAGTTCTTGTCAGTCTGTCAACATCTGCTTGCTTATTGGCAAGTTCCTCAGACAGCTGTCCAACAACACTAAAAATAATATCATACACATGCACAGTAAATTTCAAAACATTTAATATTTTGTAAGTAACTTGATATACATTAAAGAAGCAAAATGTGTTATATACTGCGAATTCACATATATTCGAGGGCATGAAATTTCACAGTTTTATCAAAGTAGTAACATTCATACATGTATACACCATAAAAATGATAAAGATATAAGATTGTCTTAGTAAATATCAAACACTTGCTGTTTTGTGAGAAGACAGGAAAGGGGAAACAGTGATAGGCAGTGTAGGAGTGGAATGATGTACATGTAGTTTTAGGAGTAAGTACTAGAAATTTCTTAACTTATAAAATGACCTTGACCACCTTCTATTTATGGAACCGTCTATTAAGAATTTTGGGGATATCAGGATGAAGATTTTAAGTATGTCAGTCAACACTGAACAGAATAGAGCCTGGTCAGAATGCACAGATGTGCAGGCTGGCCGGGCTATATACTGGTAGCAAAGGCTGATCACTTCCAGTTCAAGCAGGTTAAGTGTTAATTGGGAACTATTTTTTGGTAAAAAACAACCAAGTATTTTATTTTTTAATCTTTTTTTTAACACTTCCAGAATATCCATGATATGTTAATATGCATGTACAGCTTGAACCATCTGTCTAATCTGCTGTCATTTCTTAATTAAAGCAGCATGCCTTTAGATAAATGCTAATTTTCATGAAAAAACTTTCTTAAAAAATAAGTTTAGACTTTCTTGAAATATTTTGGCTCATCTGGAGGCATGAAGCTTTTAAGCCCAAATTGTTATTGACATTCAAGTCACAGTCGCCACTTTGCTTTTTGACTTAACCACATTAATTTCAGCCTGATTTTGTGGAAAGCTTGATGTTTATTTCATTTTGAACTAATCTAGAGTCAGTGCCCTTGAACTAAACTGTATTGGTTTCAAATCAGAGCACATGTCAGTGATACAGCAGGGCTCAGACCAGCACTCCCTGGGTTAAGAGGGGCAGACATCTTTATTATTAGGCTATCTCTTTTCCAAATTTCTTACTCATGCTCTAATTAACTGTGGCAACTTTTTGTCACAATGATCATTTTGCTTCTGGATAACACTACTTTCTGCTTATACAAATATTTTAAAAACCATCACTCTTGGAAAAAAAACTTATGTAACTGAATACTTAAAACTATTCATTTTCTAGTTGTAAACTATTTACCTTTGTTTTTCACCAGCATGACTATGCATCTGTTGTTGAAGTTTAGTTTTATGACTAACAATATCTTCGTCTTTAGATCGTATTTTGTGAGCCATGGCAGCCAGTGCGTTCTCTTGTTCTACCACCAACTCTTCAAGTTCATTCAACCGTGCAAGCTTTAAATACAACAGGTTTACTTTAACACTTACTGTTTATAAATAGGACAATTATAATTGTATCATAGTTTGGGGACCTTTCTGCTGGAAATGTGTCAGAGTTAATTAGTTTACATAAACATGCACAGTGTGTTAACTGGATTGCAGGTATTAGTTACCGTACTCTTGAGCATACCCATTGATTGGCTCATTTTTCTGGGGTTTTCTTATTGTGACGGCAAAAAAAGGGATAGCGATAGAAATATCCTATTCATTGGTTACTTTTTTCAGGGGTTTCATACTGTGACAACAGGGAAGGTGTTTTTAATTTTGTCTATGTTACAAAAGAGAAAGAACATCAAAACACTTGGTAATCTGATTAATACTCGGGGGGCTATGCCGCCTTGTAAAAATTAGATAGCCTCATTTTTGGATTCTCTTTCAATTACTTATTACCAGGAAACTTGATTGTAAAACATTTATAGGGAAATGGTCAGCTGAAGTGGAAGATTCTCTGTTTGTGGCCTTTGTCAATGATGGTCTTAAACATTGGCTAAAACTATTTCTATATACTGTATAACAGTCAAACCTGTGTTAAAGAATACCTCTGAATAAAGATCACCCTGTAAAATTTAATAAAAGTCACAATTCTTCATTGATTAAAAAAGAACAACGTAACCTCTAAATGAACCCAACTTGTCTATAAAGGTCATGTTTGGTTTCACCTTTTTTTTTTCCTTCACATATTTTACTGTGTAGAAATTACTATAGATATACACAATGACAAGCCATAAAGGCTAAAACATGTTTGGTATTTTGATTAATATCAAGTTATTAATTGCATGTATCCTGTTACTCTTCTGGGTTTATTTTACTTTTTGCATGTAAATGGTCAATAAAAATAAAGTACCTGTTTATTAGAGATTGGACGAGCTAATTTCTGAGTCATAATTTGCTGGGCGGCCTCTTTAAACTTGCTGAAGGCTGCGTCAGTGTTCATGTGTATTTTCTGCTGCATGGCCCGTAACTCTTGCTCGTGCCTTTTGTTCATTTCCTGCATATCTTCTCTAGCTTGACGTAACAGGTCTTGGTATTTACAGATTGTCTCCTCTTTCTGTTGAATTCTTGCCTGTTGTCATGGTAACAAAAAAAATAAAAATGTTACAATAAAAGTTCAACACATAACACATTTCATATACAGATTATGATGAAACATTTTATTTTGAAGCTAACAGATTAATTCTTTATTCTGTTAAATTCTTGCCTATTGATGTAGAATTTCTATAGTAGAAATAGTAATGTCATGAAATTTCAACATAGTGCACACATTAAATTTTTATTGCTATAATGACAATGAGATGACTGATTTAAGTTAAGCCAATCAATATATAAAGCAAAACCTAAAATTGTACTGAGTAAATAGTAACATTACACTCTAAAAGCGCATGCCAAAATGTTCAAAAAGGAAATTCTAACAAACAAAAAACCAAAGATTTTCTGCATATAGCATACATTGTACATTAATTTCCATTAAATGGAGTCATTTTTTATTCGCCTTTATTAAAAAAATCTAATATTATTTTTAACATGCTTTGCTTTATTGTATTTTGGTTTTACAGCCAAAAAGTTATTTGGCAATGAACATGTATATGTTTTAACCAATAAAATATTTGACTTGATTTAGCTTTACCTGCAAGCTCCCTATTGTAGACTGAGCTATTTTCATCGACTGCTCGCTGTCAAAGTTACGATCATGCGTTGCCTTGTTAATCTCTGCCGTTGTGTTGGCTTTAGACTGTGCCCGCAGGATCATCTCATCTCGTTCTGCCGTGGCCGGCATGCGCAGTCGTAGATCGGCTATCACCTTGTCACGAGCAATCAAAGCATGCTCTAATTCTCTACTGTGTTTTTCCAGCTCCTCATTTCTCTATGTAAATGAAAAAAAAATATCATTTTAAAACACAGATTAAATCTATAATTACAGTACAAAATAATCACATCTGAAACAAAGGTAAAATTTTTACAATTTTATTTTTTGAATGGTCACACTATCAAGGTAATTTGACAACTTTAACTGGTTCTGATATAAGCAAGATGCCCTTTGATAAATATTTCTGGCATTAAACTACATGTACATGTATATAAGCAAAAAACGTGAGTAAATCTTTGTTACCAACATCCCAACTATATAAGCTAGCAGGATAGTCTCTTTGTTACCTTTTTAAGTCTCTTGGAATCAGCTTGTGTATCCAGTATAACTCTCACATTAGATTTAATAGTGCTTATAGCCTGTTCTAACTGGTTAGCCACTGGAAGTTTAGAATCTGGCAGTCTGCCAACTGCTTCCTCAAACTGAAATAGACATGATTTTATTTTTACAAAACAATACTGAGTCTCTTAAATTTCTATCTATCATTGTACAATGTACATAATCTACATAAGAATAAAGGAAAAAGGTAAAAATTTCTTACTAAGATTTAAAAACATGTATTTAAATCACTCAAGACCATGATCAAGTAATATGCTAAATTTGGGATATACAATTAAATATTTGGTGCACATTTAGAATGTCTTCCAAATATCCTTTGTGTTTAAAGGTATAAAATATATACTATTTGACTGGAAACTAATATGAATTATGGACATATACTACACAATTATTACCATCCCTTTCATACATTACATTACTTAAATATGAATTTCCTATACCATTTATCATTTGTTACACTGTTTATGATTGTCATATTTATTTATTATATAAATATTAATAATATGATCATTTCCTTTGTAATTTATCATATCAACTGATGAAGTTTATTAAAGCAAAACATGTTGTGATAAATTGTGTTGTTTTGTTTATCATCTCTTTATTCCATACATGTTTGATAATCAGAAAAAAAAAATAATTTTTTTTGGCAAATTTTCTTAATTTTGATTTAACAACTAGTGATTTTATGCGAATATATTATCCTAACCTTACCTGTTACTATGTTATTTGCGCCATTATAATATGTAATTTTTTACAAGTACAGGAAAAGCATTTATATGTGTGTATAATGATACTGACCTTAGCGGCAGCTCCTGCTATTTGTGCCGTCTGACGTTCTAGGGTAGCGATCTGTCTCTCTAGCTCCACCTCCCTGTGCTCCCATCTTAACTGTCTCTCCTCAAATTCCTACAAATACATCAAAATATGGGGATTATTAAATATTGCTGATATGTAATTGCACAAGTCATTTGCTGCTTACATCCCACTTCCCCCTCAAACTAAAAGTAAATCAGGAATTTATAGGTAAAACCATGGTAACTTTTCAACACTGCTGGGGAAAATCTAATGATAAAGTCCCCCCCCCCCCCATTCTCCTCCTACACTGCCAGTTCTGTTAGATCTATATCCTAATTTATTTTGGGTAAAAATAAAATCACTGCATTGACCTATTGACCTAGAGGAGTAGTGATAGTTTGATGGTAGAAAATACAGCACATTCTCCTGTGTTGTCCCTCACATATCTTCAGATAAAGGAAGACAACAGGAGAATAAGTTGATTGAGGACCAAGCTTAATTTTTAATACAAGTGTACGTGCATTTAGCTGCAATTGTAATATTATGTAGTAATAACTATGTGTCTTTTCTCATTGACTGATGCTTATTTGAACAAATCTAGAGTTTTTTGTCTGTACATACGTGTATAATAATTATGATCCAATATTTATTGTCTGCTGTATTTTGAATAAACATTATAAAATTATATTAAGGGAGCAAAATCAAAGGTAACCTTCAACAGGTACTGTATAACTAGTTTAATTAGCAAACAAAGTTCAACTAATTCTGGATCATATTCTAAAATTAACTCCCATCCAAAAAAAAAGGAAATTCATATAAACATATTTTTTTTCATTTTTTTCTATCATTTTCATTTTTTATTATTAATTAATTATTGATCAAATAATTACATTATTGTGCAAGTAGTGAGTGAATGAAACTTAAAAAGAATCGAAAAAAAAAATGTTTCCACATGCCCCCAGTGAGAGTCGAACTCACGACCCCTGGTTTACGAGACCAGTGCTCTAACCACTGAGCTATAGGGGCATCGACACTCGTCACCGATATAAAATCGTCTATATTAATAACCCGGTATCTTATTTGTAAGTAACATCGAATTTGTCTTTTTGTACACATAATTACATGAGAAAAACATAAAATACGTGTTTTAATTTGTTTATTTTAACATATCTAATTCTTACAATTATTGAATTTTACGTTAAATGCGCGTTGCTAACGAACGATTCACGTAAACAAAATCGAATCGCCGGGTACGGAGTTTAGCGAAGATAGACGGAAAACAAATTCTATAGTCCGTTTCAAATAGAACATCCGACGCAAGGCAGTTTTATAGATTCACTCGAAATTCATTCCTGGACTTTTTTTCTTAACAATTAACCTCTCTTTAATGAATACTTAGATGGAAAGTAAGAACCTGTCCACTTAAAATAGCAGTATTAAGGCCTATATAAGTTACGGTCTATCTAACCATTTACGTTATATATATTTTGTAATTTAAGATCTTGTTGCCCAATTTGAATATAAGACATACTGTAGATCTAATTGTCACAGAGTGAAATATACATTTTTATGTTTTTGTTCATTGTAAAGTAAAATCAACTTGAAAGTAAACAGACAAAATGTTATAAATAATATTATAGTTGTTGAAATATGATTTTTTTTTCAAAACGGCTTATATTATGTTTTTTTTTGATATATGTGATCAGTACATGTGCTGGGATTGACAAATATGCATTTTATTTGGATTTTAAAGGCGTTTTGAGCTCCAAACCCCAAGTGTCTGTGAAAATTACCCGTAGGTCCGACTTGTTTCAAGCTATAATCACAATTTCACCAGGAAAAGAGTCAACTCGGCCCTATACCAACTCGGCACGGGTCAACTCGGCCCACTTTCCCAAAATATATAGGCCTATAACGTATTTACTTTGTTTTGCATGTTGTTAAGGTAAATGAATAATAAGAAATATCTTATAATTATTATATAATTATACATTATACCTCTGCTGAAATAAAGTATATTTAGAAAAAAAAGTTATTTATTTGTCTTGCAGATTCGATAAAATTAATATAAACACAGGCACGATTATCGAACCTGGGAAGAAAAAATATGAACAGATTGATAAAATAACTTCATATCTTCTCTTCCCAGATGCCTATGAATACAGATATTATTAGGGAAAACGCGCGGTTCTTGTCAGGGATAAACTTTATATTGATAATGAATTATATGGTTCTAAATAGGGGGACAGAGAAAAGTGTGACAATTTGAAAATAGTATCATGGAATGTGGGAGGATTAAATTCTTGCATAGATGATGAAGATTTTTTAGACTTGGTCCAAAATTTTGATATCATTATTCTTAGTGAAACATGGCAAAAGAATGTTGAAGTTTTTTCTTTGAAAGGATATGATTCTGTTTATGTTCCCAGACCTGAAAGTATTAAATCTAAACGCGGACACGGTGGAATTTGCCTACTATTTAAAGAGCGATTGAATAACGGTATTTCTATTGTAGAATGTGATAACACTGGTTTTATATGGGTCAAACTAGATAAAACATTTTTTTGGTTTTGAGTATGATTTATATATATGTTTTTTATATATCCCTCCTAGCAATTCTGTGTATTTTATGTCACATGAAGTAGGTTTTTTTGAATCACTTGAACATTATATTCGTAAATATAGTGAATATGGAAAAGTGTCAGTAATTGGCGACCTTAATGCTAGATGTGGTGAAAGGTCTGATATTTTAGAATGTACTGATAATTTTGATAAGTATATTTCAACTTTAGATAAAAATGAATCGGAAGTTAGCATAAATGATATTCCTTATAGATTTTCTATGGATAAAATGATTAATTGCTCTGGTAAGAAGTTATTAGATATTTGTGTAAGCAGCGACTTAAAAATTGTGAATGGCCGTATTGGTGATGATGCAGGTGTTGGTAGTTATACTTTTATGTCGTCAACTGGAAATAGCATGATTGATTACGTTCTTATGTCGCAAGATTTTTTCCACGTTATAAGTGATTTTATTGTACATGATTTATATACCTGCTCTAGTCATTTACCTATACAGCTTAACCTATGTTGTAACAGTGATCTAACATTGAATAATGTAGATAAAATAATTATTGATAAAATTATTTGGAATGATGATAGAAGCTATGAATATAAATCTTTGATAGAAAATGAATATACAAATCTTGAGTCAATCGTAAATAGCATAATTTCAGATGATACCGATATTAAAACGGGTGTAGATAAATTTTCATCTATTCTTTATGAAAAAGCCTATAGCGTTTTTGGAAGGTCATTTAATGTGTCTAGGTCAAATAACCGTAAGTTTAAGAGTCCTTGGTACACGAAGGAATGTGAAACGGCTAGACGTGAGCTTCGCTCAGTAAATAAGCATTATAAAAACAATAGAACCAATTGTAACGGTGCACTGCTCATTGAAAAGCGTCGTAAATATCGATTGGCTAAGCGCAAGGCACGTGCTACATTTAATGCCAACCAAAGACAACAATTACATACTTTGGCTTCAACTCAGCCCCAAAAGTTTTGGAAAGAAATTAAAAAATTTAAATCAAAAACGCCAAAAGGGAGTAATATTAGTAAAGACGAATTTTACAATCATTTCAAAAATGTTTTTTCTGATGACAACGATTTTATAAATGATGATGCTGAAAATTTATTAAACAGTGATGTTAATATCAATGTTGAACAACTTGATATTTTGTTTAGCCTTGATGAAGTATTGAAAGCTCTAAATATGTTAAAGAGTGGTAAAAGCGGTGGAATAGATTGTTTAATCCCCGAGATGTTTTGTTGAGTGTAAAGATATTATTGCACCGTTATTATGCAAACTATTTAATTTTATGTTTACTCATTGTATTTACCCAGATAGTTGGACTAAAGGTGTAATTGTTCCTGTCCCCAAAAAAGGTAACCTTAATAATGTCAATAATTATAGAGGAATAACATTAAGTAGTATTTTTTTCAAAAATCTTTTCAACTTTATTAGATTTAAGACTCCGAAAATGGGCCGAGGACAATAATATGTTAAGTGATTTTCAATTTGGATTTCGAAAAGATAAAAGTACCATTGACTGTATTTTTGTTTTAACTTCAATCATAGATAAAGTTATTTCGCATGATAAAAAGAAGCTATATTTAGCATTTGTCGATTTCAGAAAAGCCTTTGATGTAGTTTACAGGAACGGAATCTGGTTTAAATTATTATCTTATGGAGCTTCCACAAAGTTTGTCAATATGTTACAGAAAATATATGAAAGTGTTAAATCTTGTGTACGTGTAAATGGACAGCTAAGTGATAATTTTGAGAGCTTTAAGGGCGTTAAAACAAGGCGAACCATTATCCCCCTCTGTTGTTTTTATTTTTTATAAATGATATGTATCAATATTTATATGACGACTCTATTGACTCGTTCACTATGGACGAATTACATCTCTTTTTACTTCTTTTTGCGGATGATACGGTGTTAATATCTTATTCCAAAGAAGGGTTACAAAACCTTCTAAATAATTTACATTCTTATTGTTGCAATTGGGGTATCAGTGTTAATATTGATAAAACCGTAGTGATGATATGTAAGAAAGGTAATAGACCTGAAAATATTGATATATTTTATGATAATCATAGACTTAAAATTGTTACTAAATTTACTTATTTAGGTGTTACTCTGTCTGCTAATGGAAGTTTTTTCCAGGCACAAAAGTCATTGTCTGGACAAGCTATGAAAGCTCTGTTTTCGCTTACTTCACTATTTGAAATTGTATCACTAGACATTAAAGACAAAATTAAGTTATTTGATTCAATGATCACTTCGATTCTGAATTATGGATGTGAAATTTGGGGTTTACATAAGGCACCCGATATAGAAAAAATTCATTTAAAATTTTTAAAAAACGTTTTAAAAGTTCGTCAACAGACTGCCAGTTCTGCGATTTACGGTGAATTTGGACGAGTTCCGATGATTATATGTCGTAAAATCAGAATGATAAAACATTGGTTCAGAATTATGAAAACCCCGAATTCTTTAGTTTTTAAAGTATTTAATATGCGTGATGATCATGGAATATTAGTT